TTGTTTTTATTTGTTTATTAATCATCGTGTGCTCGTCACACTCCAGCTAACGTTAGCTGACATTAACCTGTCGTACTCACATTCAGATTTAAAAAGAGTTTTTACCTAAAAAATAAAACTGCATAAACTGGTTTATATTATGGTGACTTTCAATGAATATTTAATTGTTTTTGTTTGACTAAAAGGAATAATCAATGATGAAAATAGATGCAGATTAATCAATAAACTGATCAGTTGATTTAAATTCAGCGTTTTAAAATGGACTTTTCTTTCTCCATTTTAATCTGCGACACTACAAAGAGTGAACTGAAGTGTTTTATTCGTTACATAACATCTACAGTAACACGTTTAAATTTAATGTTGTTTATGGCTGCCGTTCGCTGTTTTATTTTGAAAGTACCGACAGGAAGTGTGGTATAGTCTAATGTGAGAAATGGCAGATTCTCTGTTGTCTTTAAATCAAACTGTCACCTGTTACAGTCGCTTTATTTACTGACATTCAGACAGTGATGTTAGTGAACGGTGGCTCTAAAGAAACAACAGCTGATAGAAAAACATCCACAGTGAACATCTTCATTGGTTGCTGCGCTGCGTCTGAAATATATAAATATATAAATATATATATGTGTAGTATATTGGTGCATGACAATAAACATAGACAGATATACATAAAGAAAGATAATATATACAAACACTACATTAAAATACCAAACTCACGTCCTCATCTGTGGTTGTGAAGACGCAGACGTGTCTCACATTGACCCTCCAAACTATTCTCACTGGAACAAGTTGTAATAATAATATAATTAATTAAGACTAATAATAATAATCACATTTTATTTCTGCAATTTTCTGTTTTTGCTGCAATTTTAGTGCAAAGAAAATCTTAAAAACATCACAGTTAGAGCTGCACTGTTAATCACAATCTGTCATTTCTTTAATAAACAGTGACACACAGATTTATTTGTACAGAGCCCCAAAAATCTCACATTATAAAGATTTTAATAGTTTTTTAAAGCAAAACTGAAATGTGTGATGTATAAAATGATCCCACATTAATTACAATGATGGTTTTACCGTCTGGTTCGTCTGATCGCAGGTTCTTTAGAAAGCTGCTGGAATCAGACATTTAATGCAGAAACAACCCTGTAGGACTTAATGTGGCTTAATGAACTACAGCAACAATCCAACTGCCTCTTAATCAGTAATTAATAGATAAAGAGGAAAAAGGCCGCGTGGCGCAGCGGGCTGAACACAGTTCACTGAGGACGAGTGTTTGAACCCGATCGGCTCTTCAGACGGCCTCGATCCGACCGCACACAGGAGAGGAGGGCCACTGCAGCGTACAGTAGCCGTGGGTTCGAGTCCAACCTGCGGCCCTGTCCATCTTCACCTGTCCTATCAAAATAAAGGCATAAAATATGAGTTCTGTAGTACATATTTACAATTTTAAGATACTTTATTTGAGTATTTAGATTTTTTTTAGCTGCTTTATTCTTCCACTCCACTACATTTATTTAATATCTTCACTTTGCAGTTGAATACAAAGTCAATCAATAAAATGATGTCTTTATTATAGATTAAGCTTACGCAGCAGTATAAAGTTAACGTTAGCTCCAACTTCACCCGCTGCAACATTCAACAGTAATAGCAATCATACAGGGTTAACAGTGTGTTTGATAATTATTTATGGATTTCTTTTTCAACTAGAGAGGCAAAGATCAGATATCTGGAAGCAAAAAATGTAATTGGATCCAATAATCGTTCCATCCCTGAGTTATTGGTGTTATCCAGAAAATAATCAGAAGCTTAATTGATAATAAAAAAGAGTTGCAGGCCTGAATGAGCACTGTGTTGGTTTACCATTAACCTGCATCAACTACGGCAGCCTGTCAGTGACAAAAACAATAAAATCCCATTTTCCAGAGAACCAGGTCAGCCAGTGACGGTAGAGCTCAGAAACATCCCTGTTTCGCTGCATAAATGGTTTAATAACCTTTTTAAAAGTGAGCTTTAGACTCCCAAACCCACTGATGAGTCCGGTGTTCATGGAGTCAGCGGTAAGCAGAGTCAGACCCCACAGACGGGATTATGGGTATTAGAGTAAACCTCACATATAAACCTGTTCATGCGGTTTAGAGTCAGGCTCTCGGCGCCGGTTGAGGACGAGAGCTGCAGTCCTCCAGAGATGAGCCGAGGCACATCGAGGCGGCGCGTTGGCCTCCTTTTCAGAGTCCAGATCATTCTGTCGCTCATGCATAATGAACACACTTACAGTCAGATTTCCCGTACGTTTGGGTTGATTTCTCCACATCCACAGAGAACCGTTGTAATGTTTCACCGTGTTTAATGTAACGAGCTCTCCACACAGAAAGCCACAGTGCTGCTCCCTGCTGGTGTAAAGCCTTCCCTCTGTTTTCACTCTGGTTTCATTGTCTCTCTTCTCTGTTTCTCAGGGAAATGAAGCCAGCTATGCCCTGGACATGTGCTCGCACTGTGAGTACCATTATACATCCACTGTTCATCTCCGCGCCTGTGTTATAACTCTGAGTATATAAACGTTGGTGAAGAGAAATCAGTTAAAACAGGACGAAGATTCAGTTTCACCTTTTTGGAGTCGACTCTGGTCTTTAGCTGGAAGTGTTTTCTGAGCCACAGTGAAGCTTTTTATAGTGTTAAACACAACGGCTCTGGATGTGCTGGAACATTAGGAACTAATGGTGTAATGGTTCGGTTCATACCCCGGCCCTTTACTGAGATTTTAGCTCAGAGAAACAAAAGGATTTGTTTCTTTTATCTGTGTATTACTGCTGAATGTGTGATGTCCTCCTCTTATCCA